CAAATTGCAGAAACTTAACCATATAGAACTTACTTCTGTCAGACACAGAATTCAATGTAGGTGTACAGTGGGCAGCATTCCAAGACGGTGAGTTAAGGATTCAGGCTCCTTCTGTCTTGCAGTTCCACCATCCTTCAAATCCCCAGAGTTTACTCAGAGAGTGGAAAAGGAAATTCCTCACTTCCGGAAGAGAGACCTCACAATGCTTACTTGTAGGATTGCTACCACTGCTATTGACCAGTGATCCCGGCCTCCTCTTTTCCAAGAGAGATTTTATTGTAGATTTTCTCCCTCTGGTCATCATTACAAAGGTGTGTGTGAACAAGTTAGATAAATTTTCTTTTGAGTTCACAGGTCACTAGCTCATGAGAAGCCCATGTCCTGATGGAGAGGACTGTGAGTCTACCGGAGATCTGGATTTGAGTTGCATGTGGTAACTGCATGGGATATTAGGTTGTTTCCCTCGAGCAGGAGTGTGTGTATTCAGTGTGAGGAGCAAGGGCTTTATAGAGATTGCTAGGTGTGGCAAAAAATACACAAAGAATGCATTTGCTCATCAAAAATGCATGCTCCCTTTCTATTGTGTAGAGTTGTTTTGGGAAGCCTGTGTCTACAGATTCTACATTTCCCAGCATTGTTTGCATTTGGATAGGGTCATGGGACTAGATTTCACCAATGGGCTATGAGTAAAAATAATTTATGTCACCTGCAGGCTGAAATGTTTAAGAAGCAGTTTTCTTTCCCAGTGTACTGCTGAAAGTAAATTACCCCAAAGCCCTCGACAGTGGAGCTATAAGGCAGAGGATCCTGAACCACTTCTGGAAAGCTGCGCTCTGAATACCAGCATTGGATTGCTGTGGAAGCCAAGAAAAAAGTTTGATTATGTTAAGCCATGAATTTCCAGGTTTGTCTGAATCTTCTGCTACTCTTACTCAATGATTACAAAGTATACATAGTTCTAAAAATTCGTTTGTGATTACAGGAGCAAAACATTTGGAAGCCACAGTTCTATTCTAGTTCTTCCATTCTATCTATCTATCATCTATCTATCATCTATTTATCTATTTACCTATATCATCTATCTCTTCGTGTATATGAAACTTATGTATATATATATGCACATATATGAATTTAAAGGCAGATAAATAAAAATTTATTTACACTTACACATTGAAATTTTAGATAATGGTGTCTGATTAGCATGCAATTGCTTTAGGGCAACCTAAATCTGGGAATTTACCACCTCATTCTCTTACAATTTAAACTCAACCAGTTGAGCCCAAGCATGATAGGATTTACTATGATGATCAACATGTTTTAGTATCACCGAATCCTTTTTTAGCTTCTATGCAGTAATGGTGAGACAGTATTTCTTTTTTTATTTTTGCAACAGTATTTCTTAAGTACGTAGCTAAAGTCACAGCGTAAAACAAATAAGACAAATGATCTTAAGGATGAGTGATAGGAATTAGTAATAAATCTGCACATCTCAGTGCATAAGTGCATGGGCTGTTAGTTATCTGCAAGATGTCTGCAGGGTCATTAGCTACTGTGCAACCAAACCCCAGACCATGGCACCATTTTATTATGGAGTTAGAGTGCTATCTTTACTCATGGCTCTTAAAAAATAAGCTCTAGTGGGTGCTAAGTAGCAAGCTCAAATCTATGATTGCAGCAGGATAAATATCAAATGTATGTTGTGTCTGTCACTTGTCTATTTATTCTCAAATCCATTCCCTTCCATTATATTGCTCAGCCCTGTATCACAAGGGACAGATCCTGCAAACTCCATTTTCCTTCCTCAAGAACAGAACACTGAAGGGCAGGCAGATAGGAGATTTTAGGGTCATTTCCTCCCTCTCCTCTCTCCTAAGGCTGCATGTCTGGCAGTGGCTGCCTCCTGCAGGGTTCCAGCTCCCACCAGGCAGCTCCAGCCCTGTAATCCTAGCCTTGCTTGGTAACCTTCCCAGTTGCTTCCGGGTTCTGACACTATCTTGAGTCCCACCAAGATATGGAAGTGATCGGGCCTTCCTGCTGGTTGCTTTGTCATCCTATCTGTTTCCTTTGGCTCTTCAGTTCCTCTAATACCTTTGTATCTATTTCCCCATATTAGATTCCCCAGACTTGAATGCTCTTTGCCAGATCAGACCTTAATCAATGCATTAATATTTGCACTAATATCCACATAGAACACAATTTATTGAAATGTACATATAAATGTATCAACAAAGTAACTGGGAATTTTTTGTTGAATGAGAGAATTTATGTGTGAAAGTGTCACTTGAAATCTGGGCAAAAAATATATTTTAATGGTTTAAAATTAAACATAAAAATTTCTGTTAAAGGGGCAGCTGCGTGGCTCAGTCGGTGGAAGGTCTGACTTTGACTCAGGTCATGATCTCAGAGTCCTGGGATCCAGCCCTGCATCCGGCTCTGTACTCAGCAGGGAGTCTGCTTCTCCTTCTCCCTCTGCCCCTTCCCCTGCTTGTGCTCTCTCTCTCTCTGTCTTTAAAAAAAAAATCTATTAAAATTTAGTGTAACTATATGTTGATAATGAAATTTTAGTAAGAAACGAAAGTTGTGCTAAAACATTTGAATGGTGGGGCGCCTGGGTGGCTCAGTGGGTTAAAGCCTCTGCCTTGGGCTCAGGTCATGATCCCAGGGTCCTGGGATCAAGTCCCACATCTGGCTCTCCACTCCGCAGGGAGCCTGCTTCCTTCTCTGTCTGCCTGCCTTTCTGCCTACTTGTGATCTCTTGTCTGTCAAATATATAAATAAAATCTTTAAAAAAAAAACACATTTGAATGGAACCATTGGATTAAAATGGTAGTATAATTAGAAATTCAAAAAAATAGAATTAGAGGCAATGCTTACAGTCAATATTAAAACAAGTAGCTTTTGAACCTTTTTGAAACTGACTGTGATTCACAATAATAAAGATCTTAGATTGAGAATGTATACATTACATATCATGAGACAACTGCTGTGTTTTCTACTCATTTTCTTCCATTCTCTTTCACCATATCCTAGTCAATGTGACCCACAGAGTTTTGAAAACATGGTTCTAGGTGGTTCTAGGTGTGTTATAGGAACCATAACAGTCTTCACAGATTTATCCAAGAGATTAAGATATTACTAATCCTTGTTCACTCTGTCTTCCTCTATTGCTTTTGTTAGCTCAGCATGTTTTCCCACATTTTGGTAATGGCAGTATAATTTTCCACTTGGAATTATTCCTGCCCACCTCTCCTGTCCCCCAGTGCTCTTTTTTCACTACCTCTGGGAGAGGCATGTCATCTGGTTCTGGTCAAGCAGAATGATCTTTGACCACACGGACTGCCTCAGTACCCAGTACATAATCTACACAAGGCCAATGAGATCTGCTGTCAGAAACAAGTTCTTCTGCCAGACTGAGAGCTGGTGGAACTTCGGCTGTCGATCCTGAAGCCATCATATGGACAGAGCTGCCTGGGAGGGAAACTAACCAAAGGGAAGAGATGGAACAGTGACGCCAGCATTTGTGAGCCTATAGTCAGTCACTGTCCCCCCACAATGTGCATGAGTAAATTCACCTTTAGAAATTCAAATATGAGAAAGAAGCTCCCCTTCAGATGATATTTAGTATGTGAAATGACTGAATTTTATTAAAAATTTACATCCTCAGAACTCTTCAGTAGCCTCAACTTGTGAACAGATAGAACAAAAATAGAAATCATCACAGTCACTTAAACTTTAAATGGCACAGTAAGTATCTGAAATTATTTGGATACAAAAATTAAGTTTGTTGGACATTTCAATGCCATTATCAAGTCTTAATCTTATTTCATTGTCCACATATTTTTAGTTAGGCTGTTCTGGGAACCCCCCATTTATTAAGAAAAGTACATTTGAAAAAAAAATACATATTATTTACATTAGGATTTTCACTGAAAAAATACAATTAAAGAAATTAAGGTTTCCCCTCCCCAAAATTTAATTTTTTTCCCAACCAGTATGCAGAGATATTGTATAACAGTATATATTTATTTAAAAAGCTATTTATAGCAGATACATTTTAATGTAAAATAAACTTTTACAACATAACTCCCTTTTTTTTCAGTTCTACTCCGTATTTGATTTTAAAAGTCTGCAGAGTTCACTGATTTGAAACAAATTCCATTCAAAGCACAGAGTATACTAAAGGGTGCTCATACAAGAAAATCATCCATAAATGAGAAGTTTTAGCTACAGCGGTTAACGTTACAGTAGGAAAATATGTAAGGTAAGTGACATTTCCACATGCCTGTATTATTTCCTGATGAGTTACCACCACAATGTATGAACAAGCTTATGCACGATTATAACCCTTCTCTATCAGACATTCACGGATGCTCATCGTTTGTTGTTTTTCAAATACATTATGTGAAACTCTGGACAGGAATTATTCTTATTAAAATTACTCCTAAAAAGTGAAGGCAATATTTCCCTACGGCAGAATTAAAACAGAGCAAGTTATGGTAACACTCCGGTGTGTCTAGAAAATCCTCATGAGTCTCTCTCATGGAGGCCATTTGCTCCGAGATGGGAGCTTTGGACTTAACAGGCAGAGTGAACCATTTATACAATTTTCTATGAAAAAATGATTGGTTTGGAAATCTTGTGCTTTCACTATTTGTGGCATTAATTGCTTGCAAATTAATCAACTTGCAAAAAAGCAGTTGCATTTAATGATCCTTTCTGAAAATACTTGACTGGGAAAATAGCAAAACTTCACAGGCTATCTTTACCTCTTGTTATTATGACTTAGAGCACACAAAAACATTTACAACTGAGGCTGTGGCAAAATTGATTTCTTCTTCTCAATAGCTATATATAGAATACTAATTAAATTCTGGAGATTAGAAAAAGAAGAGAGTTCTATTAAAAATTAGGCGCTATGGAACTTGGTACAAATGAAGTAACCTGAAAAATGTTACATTTGTATTTTTTTTCTTTAATGAGGTGATCTTAAATATAATATCTTAGGAGCACTATCATTTTTGCTATAACTGTTAAATATTTCATTCCTGAGATTTCTGGAGGAAATTAAATTTCTTAAAGTAAGCAAACAGGAAAGAAATTGTTTTCCTAGCTGGGAGGCTGAACTGTGGATCAATATCTCAGCCAATTACTTTGTCATTTTCGCATACATCAGATTCCTCATTTGGGATATATTCACACTGTAGTTTACTCTTTAACTACTGGTCCCAAAATATGCCACATCTGTAAAGAGCTGAAATGTTCAGCCAAAAGATGGAATATAAGTAAAAGTTATTGTTACTAAAAATTTGCCATTGTAGGTAGCTTCTCTTTTTTCAAGTGAAAACGTAAAAACAAGTGAGATTTTTACATCTGGATTGATTAAATAACAATTCAAGTATCTCCTTTAAAATGATATTCTGAAAAACATTAATGTTTATGTACCACAAATTTAAATACATTTTCTGAAATGCAGAATATTCCTTGGATATTCTTTGTTTTAATCATTACATGGACTATAAAGATCAAGTTAGCTTTGGTTCACATCCTTATTTTTGATAGTTCCTGATTTTTATCCAAATACCTAACTGATCATCTAGAAATAAAGTTAATATCAAATGCATGGAAGAAAGCTTCAGACAATAACACAATTACATTTCATTTTAAAAGCTATATTCTAATGAAGATATAGTCTAATAGAAGTCATTTTGTTCTTATTTTCAGTTATGGCAGATATATAAGATGTTCACTGAGTTTTTGCATGAAATGGAGTCGTTTCATAGTCTTGAAAATGAATTCCCTTAGAAGTTGTGATCTTCATAATAGCGCCATTCAAACCATCATCTTCAATGAGTGTTATTAATCCACTTGCAATCATTGATGGGCTAAAAATAAAGGAAACATTGGTTTTTAAAAACTCAATATAAGGCATAATTATCACTACACTTTGAATTGTTTTTGAAAAAAAATATACCTTTAACATGTAATAGGGAAATGGATATCATGAAGCTATGGCTACCTCCATATTTTAGTCAGTTAGATAGATATCAACTAAATCAGATGATAAACTGAGTGGTAGATTTCCATGCCAAACCTTCTGCCATTCTGACAGGAAGAATTTATGAACTTATATTTATTGTTCAGAAAATGATTATTTTCTCATCTTTATCTTATAGTAGATCTTAGGCTTACCAGATAAAAATGGTATCAAAATAGAAATGTGAGGAATTATAGATAACATTAACTGAACATCTATTATCTACTTGTTGCTCTTTTAAAAACCTTCCACATATTAATATATTCACGGACTTTCCAAAAATGCTATTTTAGCATTTTTTTCTATTCTATAGGTGAGAAAATTGAGGTATCCATGGGTTGACAGATAAGTTTATGGTCAGGGGTGGAGGCACAATTTGATCCCAGGTGGTGGTCTGATTCCTTTGTCCTGACAGTTACGACTCTGTGTTGTGAAACCAACTGCTTGAACTCAGACACTGTTCACCAAATATGTGCGTTGAGAAACCATTTCTTAGGAAAACGGTCGAAGCTAGGGGGCCATATGAAATTTCATGAAAAGTAAATGTGAATATTGCTTGGAATTTAGTCAAATTAGGTATCACAACTTCCACAGGCAACTAAACACCATATTTTTTTTTTTAAATCTCATTATGGCCAACAGCATTATGATGCTCTGTTTCTTGGAATTCATGTGTAAACATTCTATTCAGACACCCAAAAAAATATTTTTTTAGTGTGTCTGCCAAACCAGCACTTTGAAGCACCCTTAGTTTCTCAGATTTAAGGGTTATTTTTTCCCATTTTATTGCTTATGTCCAGATAGTACTTTGCTCCATCATAAAAAGGAAGATTGGTATAGTTTTACTTACTCCAAAATTCCATAGAACTTCATCATATCCTTAATATGATCCTTATATTCTATATATTGTCCCATGTTTTCTTCTTTCTCAATGGATTCGAGAATGGGTGTATTAACAAAGCCTGGGCAAATGGCATTCAGTCTAACACCACTGTTCATGAGATTAGCTGCCATCTGTGGATCAGAAGTAGAAGGTTGCAGGTTTCAGTTGCTTTCTAAATGTATACCATGGGACACACGGATAATTAAAACCATTTCAAAGACTCTGATGTGAAAAATACCAGTCAGATACCCTTCTAGCGATCTAACAAAGACAATGTTAAGGTTGACTGGTAGCAGAAAATAAAAGAATACATACTTAAAGCGTTAAATTAATTCCTGAAAGCTTCAGATAATTAATTCTTTAAAAATCAATATTTCTGGGGAACTCCTGAAAATACTTGATTATCTAAGCTTCTCTTATCTACTGAACTCTGCAGGAAGCGAAACGTAAAAGGCCAAGGCTGAGAAATTAGTATCTCAGGTTTGCCTTCAAAGATTGTATAACAAGAGAATATTTCCTTAAAAAATACTGTTAGGGGTAAGTCTGGGACTCTGATTCTAAAGACACTCTTGATAATATGCACTATGCAGAAGACAGTTTAAGCATCTTCAGACTAGCATTTCTTGGTTCAAATTCAACCTATTGATTTTATTTGAACTATTTACAAAACAAACGGTAGTCAATTATTTTTGGATTCCATTTACTTACTTGCTAAAGTTTCTTTGTAACCCCTAAAATCAACAGTCATGGGGTGCTTGGGGTCGTTTATGGATAAGCACAGAGCAAATGTTCCAACTACGATAAAAATAATGCCCTTGTTTCAGCTCTTACACTATAAACAAACATCCTCTTTGTGATATATTCAGTCTATGTCTTTCCCATTTTTGTGCCTTTTGTTGGTGACTTTGCTACTTAAAACGCCTCCCAAGCATAGTGGTGAAGTGCTGTTCAGTGGTCCCAAGCGAGGGAAGGCTGTGATGCGCCTTACAGAGAAAGCTCATGTGTCAGATAAGGTTCCTTCAGGCATGAGGTATAAATACTGTTGCTCATGTTCATATGTTACTTAGTGAACACCATGCATATTAAATAACATGTCTTCACATAGAAATATATGTAAGACTAGGCTATGTATGGACTGATTGGTCAAGATGCTGTGAGCATAGGCTCGAAGGAACCCCACATTTCCCTGAGGAAGAACAGTTCAGTATTCTCTGATGCAGTGTTCATAAGTGATTTTATAGAGCTAACTACCACAAATAATGAGAATTGATGGTACGGATTTACGTTCTTGTCATTGTAAATAGGAAATTTCTGGTATTTAAAAATTGTTTTATTTTTTTAATTTAAATTCAATTAGCCAACATATGGTACATCATTAGTTTTTGGTGTAGAGTTCAGTAATTCACTAGTTGCATATAACACCCAGTGCTCATCAGTATTATTTTGTTTTGTAATACTTTTATGTGTTCATTAAAAGTTGAATTAAAGATTAAATCTATGCAAAGTAAATAAAAATTTCCAATAAATTTGAATTAAAATCATGAGAGCTGCTTATCTTCCCTTTTGACTGAACATTTACCATTCATGCATCTAGTTTCTCTAACCCCATCTCTTCTCCATCTCTGTCTGGGCCTTCTCTTGTCTCACCTAGATTAATCACAGCAGAGATTCCCCCAAACTATTCTATCCTCTTCTATACCTGTCCTAATACATTCTCTAAACAATAGCCAGAATGGTCTTCTGAAAATGGAAACCTGATCTTGTCACTCCTTTGCATAAAAGACTTGCTGATGGCTGCAGTTAGAATCCATCTGAGCTCATTCCTGTGGTCCATAAGCTGCTTTTTGCCTAGCTTCTGCTTCTGACTCTCCCCTTGCTCCTCAGGTTCCACTCAAAATGCCCCCTTTTCAGTTAATAAAAAGGCAAGCATTCTTACTTCATGCCACCAGTGCGTGTAGTCAATCAGGCCTAAGATATTTTTCTTAGCTCTATACACCTGTCACCTTAGGCCCCATGGAGATGTCATCCTTGACTACTCTCTCTGGTAAATTCCCGTCCCATACCTCTGTGCTAGCCTTTTTATCTCCAAGGATAAGTAATATCTAGAGCACAATACATATTCTATTCAAGAAGGCCTGAAGTTAACAATTTTTACATTTGGAGTCAATTTTAAAAATAAAGAGTGCCTTCCTTTTTTTGTTTTTAACCCTGAGGAAATTTTTCAATAACACATCTGTGTTTAGGGACTTCATTTTTAAGAGATCTCTTCTTCATTTGCTCCTTGATGGGATCTGAAAACCACCTTTATAATAACGATTATAGGATAATTTATTTTTCTCTCTTTAAACCAGATGCACTGAATTCTGAATTTATTCCTTCTGCTTTCTAGAACTCATGTTTCACATACGCACAGAAAGAGAACAAGAGATCGTGCGGTTGTTAGATCCTCACCGCTGCTGAGCGTGTGAATCCAATTATGCCGTGCTTTGAAGCACAATAAACAGGCTGTTGTGCCACAGGCATGAGCCCTGAAACAAACAAAACATTTAAAGAATTTCACTAAAAAATAAGCAGACAAAAATCCAATAATTGCTACACGATTGAGTAATTTGTCCCTGTTCCATTTGAAGCTTATTCTACAAAATACACGAAAATAATTACGAGACAATTTTCCTTCCATGATCTCTACTATACTGGCCAGAATTGATGGCGTGTAAGTTACAACCTAGGAATGAAGCCAAGAGTGATATGAAGTCCGTCTGTCTCCCTGACCCTTGGTTAAGACAAGTAAATGTTATCTGAAACATAAGCAGAATCACCTTTAAACCCAGTAATTACCACCAATTTTCAGTTTTTAAGACTTGATTTTTAAAAAGTATCTATTCTACATTTTGTAAAGCTTCCAAATGGCTAAAGTGTAAATTTCGGAAAAGAGACTTGGAGAGGACTTCTCTTTGCTATGAATTAGTAGACATTTCCCCCATCACTGACTGTACTGATGATCCCTCTAAAGTATTTAAGAAAAGTCAAAGTAACCACTTTTGATTCTGATCTGTAAAAGATGCCTAGTTCTTCTTGTCCATGACTCAGGTAAAGAAAGCCAGAAATTAAAAAAAAAAGAAAAGAAAAACAGAAATAAAGATGTATGATGCTATTTTGTTTCATTTCATAATCATGTGCTCTAACAGAATTCAAGCAATTTCAGAATTGGTTTAATTTTCCACACATACACAATAATAACTATTGGAATGTATGATTAAATTCCTGGCCTGCAGAAACAGTCATTGTAACACGCTTAGCATCTCTTCCCCCCTACGTCCTGCTCAACCCTCAAAAAGATACAAAACAATAGGCAAGACCTTTTACTAAAATGTTACTATCTAGTTTATTTCTCATCATTGTCAATTCCATGATCAACAGCAAGGCTTTAAATTAGAGCCATCTGTACATTTCAGTTTTTAACAAATATCCCCCATTAACTCATTTTAACATTTTTCCAGTTGGTGATTTCTGAGTCAAGAAACCGTGATCTCTGATTACTATAATGTTATTAATATCAAATGTCACGCTAATAAGACTAAATTATTCTGCTGAGACATGTTCATCTCCACCCAGCTAACCAGTCCCAGAGCACCACCAATCAGTTGTTGAGTGTGTTATGCCAAAGTTCAGCAATAAATGCAGACCTTAACCACTCCCTGGGTGCCTGCCAGGTCTCAATTTATAAAGTATGTTTGCTCAAGAGCACTTTAAATCACTGAGGATGGTAGATCACACACAAAGCGTCCACCCAGTGATCTCAAAGGACTGTACCGTATGGCTCTCTTGTTGTTGTTGTTTCTTAGGTTAAGTAAAATGTGTGAGTTAATTAAGTTCATCGATGTCAGTCAGCAAGAATTTATGATGCCTACATAGGGTACACAGGTGTGTTTGGGATTGTGGACAAAGGGAATAAAGTAGGAGCAGCCAGGCATTGGGGCTGCGTGCTCTTCTAAGTTCCTTGCTGTCTGCCTCTCCGTAAAACTTTACAAGACAAAGGCAGTTGGTTGAAGAATGGTGTTCACGGATGGCAGGAAATGCAGAATGACCTTCATCAGAGATAAGCTGACGCAGCCACCGAAACAAAACGCATAGGGACACCATTCATAAATGTTGTCAAAGATGAATTTGGGATGAATTTTTGTTACTTGTGTGAAGGTACTGAACTTCTGAACCCAAGCTAGTTCAAAGTGTCACAGAAGTGAAATAAATCAAATAAGGTGGTTCCATTTAAGAAGCAAGCACAAAACACAGACATTCCTCTAAAGGTACAATTGGAGAGGTGACCAGAATGTGAAAAGTTTGTTTGCATTTTTAAAGTGGCACTTGCCTTTATGAATCTTGTTAACATTATAATGACATTTTCACTGACATCCTGAAAAATGTCTACTTGTGCCTTGCTTTCCCTTTCTGATATTAGCTCAAAGGCTGTATAAGTCAGTATCAAACATTCAGAAATTGTGTCCATTTTAATTTTTTTACAGCTTTACTAAGGTATAACGGACACACAATAAACTCCATATATTTAAAGCATTCAGTCTGATAAATTCTGACATATATATACACTCATGAAACCATGATAATGGTTTCATGGAAATCAAGATAATGAACATATCCATCACCAAAAAGTCTTCTCTTGCCCCTGTGTCATCTTTTCCTTCTGCTTTCCCCCTCCCTCTAGGCAAACACTGTTCTGCTTTGTGTCACTGTAGTTTGCTTTTTCTAGAAGTTTATGCAAACGTAATCATATATTATAAAATCTTTTGGTCTGACTTCTTTCACTCGGGATAATTATTTGAAGTTTTATCTATGCTGTAGTGTATATTAATAGCTAATTTTTCCTTTTTTTTTTCTGAATAGTATTCCACTGTAAGGATATACCCATCAATTGCATATACATTCACCTGTTGATAGATATCTGGATTGTTTTTACTTTTAGGGTATTATAAGTTAAGAGAATTCTTTTTTTCAATTACTTAAGCAAGTCATAGTTAACTTAGTTAAATAGAGATTTTTTTTTTATCTTCCCATACATATAGATTTTCACTGTTGCTTCTTATGTTTCAAACAGGTAGGGTAGGTTAGTGATCTGCAGTATTTTACCCCCAGCTTGCCAATGGACAGTCCAGGTGGAGACTTACCATCTGTACCTCAGTTTGCTATTGTGAAAAGAAGACAAAATGGATAAAGAAAGTTTTTTTTTTAAGGTTTTGTTTTTATTTTTAACTATGATTTTTTCTGAATATTTCAGACATCCAACATTTTCTATTAGACCTCAAGAGCCACTTTTCTTTTACACACAATATTATTGCTATTGTGGTTTAGTTTCAGTATTGGTCAACTGTACTTCTGTTACTTACCTTCGCCCTACAATACTAATATATGTTGTTTCTATGTGCTTCAAATAAAAATACATTCTGAGGCTGGGACTCAGGGTCAGCACATAGAATTGTGCATGCAGGGTGTGCATGTTATGACTCTGGAAACACCATTAACTTGGTTGTGTAAATTGTGCCCTGCCTTAGCCCTCCCACCCCCTATGCTCCCACCCCTGCCAAATTTCTGCAGTTTATAACCTGCACAACTATACATGGCAGCCATCTCTGGTAGAAGAGGATGACTCAACAAAAGAGACTTGAAGAAAGAACCAGTGGAGGTAGGAAGAAAACAGGTTAGGTACCCTGTCATAGAAATTAAAGATAGTATTCTAAGAAGCCAAGAGTGGTCACTGTTATCAAGAGCAAAATCAAATGAGAGTCATGCCCCTTGAGATATGAACATGTCTCAAGATCACTTATCTATAAGTAACACCCATAGTCTCACATTTTCCTCCAGCTACAATTCTGTATCTCTTGACAACACAAAGTACTGAAAAGAGTTTCTCTACTCCTTGTTTCTACTCTCCTTGCTTCCCATTTGCTGCCCAACTCACTCTACTTGAATTTTCATTTCACCGCTCCCATCAAACAGATCTCATGACCAACATTTTCTTATACTATTTAATCACTCAAAAATGTCCTTTTAATCAAAGTTGTCGAGGGGGACTATAGCACAGTGGTTTGGACTTTGGGTGCTAGGCTGACTGAGTTAAGAAAAAAAAAACCTTTTTTTTCAGTGAGAACATTTTACTTTTAAGATTCTTTTTTTTAAATTTATTTGAGAGAAAGAATGCATGCAAGCACAAGCAGGGGGAGTGATAGACGGAGAGGGAGAAGCAGATTCCCCACTGAGCAGGGGAGCCGGATGTGGGACTGGATCTTAGGACCCTGGGATCATGACCTGAGTTGAAGGCAGATGCTTAACTGACTGAGCAGTCACCCAGGCGTCCCCAAATTCAAATTTTGAATCCATCACAATGAGCTATGTGACCTTTGAAGAAGTGAGGGCTACCAAGGTGTTTCTGTTCTGTAAACTAGAGCCATCATGGTAGCAGCTGAGTCCCAAATGAGCTAATTTACATAAAATTCTTTAAGCAGTGCCTGGCACATAATAAGCTGTACAATTTGCTATTATTTTATATAAATATTTTTCCTTGGGATGAAACATCTCCAGATCTTGTTTTATAGACTTACTTATCCACATTATATCTTTTTATCAGAATGTACATTTTGACATTTGAATTAAAATGCCACAAATCTGGTCCATGTCCTAACTTGCTTTGGTTTCTGAACCCTGGCAAACCATGGGCTGTTGTTAATCCTAATTCAAGATTTACAGAAGTACATTCATTTAAGATCTGTGTGTTTAGTAGCTTTCAAGTACAAGGCATAGGAAGTAGTCTTTAAAATATATTGAGGGGCACCTGGGTGGCTCAGTTGGTTGAGCCCCTGCCTTCAGCTCAAGTCATGATCTAGGGGTCCTGGGATCGAGTCCTGCATCGGGCTCCCTGCTCAGTGGGGAGTCTGCTTCTCCTTCTGCCTCTGCCCCTGCTCCTGTGCTCGCTCGCTCTCACTCTCTTTTTCTTTCTTTCAAATAAATAAAAAACGAAATACTCTATTGAAATATGTCAGACTAATGGGAAGACCCCTGGTGCAGGGTGGAGAGTAGACCTTCATTGGCTGAACTGCTAGATCGGTGCTGTTATCTGACTTCAAGGGACTTTTGCCAGGAGTAGAACTCCATGACCAGCTGCTGGAATTAATTTGGGTTTCTAACATCTTGCAAATTGATACCTATAGATACAGGCTCTTCATGTTAAAGGACCTAACAACAACAAAACAAGGGATTGTGGCAACAAGATGGCAGTCTCCAAAGAAATGACATTTTTAAAAAAATATTGTAAGACATTTTTATTTATATTTAAAAGGTCAAGAATAGAGTATTTATCTCTAAAACTCTCTCTCTAAACTCTCTGAAGCTTTTATCTTTAAAACTCTAGACCCAGAATGGGACAAAGTTCACTCTAGACCCAGAATGGTGCAAAGTTCACGTACGGAATCCCAAAACGACTCTCACCAAAATATAACATGTCTAATTAGTTATAGGATTG